TTCTAAAATAAAATCTACTTCTTTATATCTACTCCTTGACGTTTTGTTTGCGTGAGAAATAAACGGGGGATGTGCAAAGTACGCTCGTATCCTCGAGTACTTCGAACAAATTCTCTTTCCGTCGCAAAGCGGTGAATTCTTCCTGAGCGTTATTTCTTGGCACTTGGAATAAAATAACGAGCGCGTCAAATTTTATCGCCGCGTTCTCGCACGGCCGCGTAATATATCGATCACTTTACTTTTGCCGGCTTGTCGCCGCTAATAATAGCGTTTGGCCCACTGGCGCCGGCCGAAATAGCGCGCCATCGCGCGAGAACGCGCGCGCGCATAGGCGAATAATTTGAAAAAAACGAAACCAGCTGCCGGAAGTGCTTTCTGTATAGAACCGGATTTATTTTTTTTCTGCGGTACAGAGAGAATTTACGTAAAATGAAATCACGTCTATTTTCCGTTCCCGTTCAACTTTTCTTTTCGAGTCTCCCTTTTATATTACAACTTCCTCTTCTCTCTTTGGAGAGAAGCCATGTCTTTTATCAAAGGATTCGACTGTTTGAAACGTGCGTTGCACGGGTACAGAGAATGCGCAGCGTAACATAACGTTTAAATTTTACATTAACGTCTCTTGCGTTCATAGGAATTTATATTTCAAGTGTATGTAGGTGCTCACTTTCCAATATTTTTTAATCTGTACACGGTAAGTATATTTTGCTAAAATATTTAAAAAATTATAGATAGATCTAAAAATAATTTTGTTAGACCATAAAAATAAATTATGTAGAAATAGTTCCTTTCATATTCTTTTCATTAAATGAAACACTATAAATTCCAAGACATTAAATTGCATTAGTTTACAAGGTTTTATGCAAGAGCATGTAAAGATAGACAGGATAATTTTCGATGCTGATCCCGAATCATTGAAATATTTTCATCGGATCTAGTCTTTAAGATATAAAAAAAATTTTTTCTTAATATAACATAGTGGACATAGTGAAGTTTTATTTGAAATTAGAAAACAACAAATTAGAAATGTTGAGAGATTACTTTTTGTTCTTTATATGACTTTGAATCAATTTCACGTATTGGAGTCTAGTAGTAATTACCATGTTACCTCTCTCTCTCTCTTTCTTTCTCTCCCTCTCTCATCCTAATATCTATAATACCGTTTCTCAATTATCATCAAATCCTGATGGAAATGTTCACCTTGCTTATCATCTGTCGCATCTAGAGGCCCTATAACAGTGTCTAGTCAATTTGTCAAAACAAGAAAGAAGGGTACTGTTTCTTTATATACTTATGCTTCTCATTCTAACTTATATTACCTCACTCATTCTAAATTACTAAAGTTGACAAAATGATGGGCTATTCAAAAAACTTTGTTGTGGCTATATCCTATTATAGGCTTTCTAATCGCATCCAAATTATTCGAAAAGAAATGCTATATCTTAAAAATATGATTTCAAAACTTTGACCTGATGGAACTTTTTTAATGACAGATGCAAACTTAGCGCACGAAAATATATTTAAAAAATTGTGTCTTTCTTGTGCTAAAAATTAACCAAAATTTGTAAATTAATGTTATTGGAGATGGAAAAGATAATTTTCTCGATCAAATGCATCGATGAAGCATTGAAACAATGCGGCTTTGATCAAGCTTGCTTGTGCCGCGTTTGTAATGCAAATTTTTTGTGGTGAATGCGGGAAGTTTAAATTACAACGCGAAAAGAAAGCTACGGTCAAGTGATTCAACGGGACAATATTAATAAAGAACTTCCTGGAACTATTCACGATCGTATTGATACTGAATCGGTCGACGTAGGTCGATTAAGATAACGTGATTAACGCGCGACTAATCGCTCGACGATTATCTCATCAAGCGCGCCCAGCAGCAAATATGCAATTCACTGACGTATATCATTCTGCATCGCACGAAGGTTGCGAACATTTTTAACTCTTGTCTCTATAATCGCGAGCGGCTTGTTAGCACATTTGACGAGTTCTTAACACATTTGCGTGTTCACGATAGGTGGACGCTAAAAAACGTAGAAATATGGAGTTTTCATCGTTTTGCTGTGTACGAATGAGAGTTTTAGTTATGATTATAAATAAAGTTTATATAAGCTATTCTATAATACTTAATTGTCATATTCGTTTCAACTATAATTTTAATTGTTCTTTTAATTAGTTATTTTGAAGTCGACGTTCTCTCAGAGAATATTTAATGATAGATATAATTATAGAGCAACGTATATATATTTTTTAATAAATTGTTTTTTAAAGGAAAATTATTTTAAATTTACGCTATCCTGTCTATGCTGATATTTTTCGGCATTTTAGATATTTAATTTCCCTCCAGTGAGGCTATTTCGATCCCGTACTCTTATTTTTTTCTCTCTTCTTCCTCTATTATTTGAAATATGCGAAACAACACGTTGAGCAGCTACTGTCGACATTCTACAAGTGGCATTCCTGGACAATCAAAGACACCGATCCGAGCCATTAACATGCGGTATGACGTACTCTCCGCGATACAGAGATACGGATTCGCAATTGAAGTGACTGTAACGGATGACAAAAGCCTTTCGGGTTCTCTCGAAGGTCTCCACCACGCGCGAATGCGACTCGCATCGCAAACTCGCGAACCGCGGGGTGCATTATACCTCTTCGCGAGCGCCGGTGCAGGTATTGTGCAGCGGTGCACACCCGACACCTGTTGCCTTGGCCGTGCTCTAGGGAAAACGAGATGCCTGCTGGGAGAGAGAACGCAGAGAAAGAGAGCGAGTGAGAGGGTCGTAACGACGCGTATAAATTACGATCGCCCGTTCGGCGTGTGTTCACCCCTTTTACGAGCGCGGTGCTCCCGACTCCTCAACGTCCCCCTTGACTGATTTACCGCTGCGGTACCCGCGAATTATCTCTCTCCTTTTCGCTCTTTTTGCAATATCGCCATTCTTAGAGAGTATTTTCCGCGGCTCCGTTCGCGAAAAGGGAGGCGGCACGCTGTAATTTATAACGCGAACGATCGCGAGCGATCTCCGCGGGGCTGGACTCAGAAAGCCTGAAACTTGCAGTAAATTTGTTGAACAGGTCATATACCAATACTCTGGAATATACTAACTTATAACACGTAAAAAGCGTGCGGCGTACATAATATAATTACGGAATAAAATGCAAAATGTATTCTGCGGTGTGCGGTATTGATTGATTTTTTTTATAACCCACGATGAAAGAACGCTATTATCTTAAGAATTAAGAAGATTGGAATTCCCTTAATCAAGAATCCGAAATTATTTATTTATTATTACTGAATTATATTTATTAAAAAGAAAAAAGCAAAACAATTAAAACGGATATCTAAATGATATCTAAATGTATCAGTCAAAAAACTTTTGTTTTATCATAAATAGGTACATATTGAGAGACCAAAAAAAAAACAAAATGCACGAATATTTATTAATTAGTATATATAAAAAATTTGATTTAATTCGTGTGTTCTGACTTTATCAGGTTTGCAAATATAATAAGTACTATAAAATGTAATTTTTAGAAAAAAATCGAGACGGACAAAATAATTAAATAACTTTTAATCAATAAGAGAATTGAGCTCAACTTTTACATAGATACTCAGACGTAATAATAGAATATATATAATCTGTGAAATATTTTATATTTTTGGTAATTCTTTGAGATATTCTTAAACAATCATATAAAAAAATTACGACTAATTAAATTTTCTTATAGAATTCTACGATATCACAGATGAAGCATTTTGACAAAGAACTGGCAACGGTTATTCTGTTTGTGAATGACCAGACGACGATTTCCGACGAAAAAGTGGGCCAGTAGATCTTAATCGGTCTGCTATCTCCGAAACGTTGAACTCTCGTTAGCGCCTGGGTTATTTATGACAAGCGAATTATTTTCCCTCATTAGTCACTGTGTAACTGTCTCCACGCTTGACTTTGTCACGCGTTATATACCCGCTCTTTATAGTCGCGCCGTCGCGATCTTAGCTTGCGCTACATTCTAGCAGATTTACAACTGTCATACGCGTACGTTTTCACCGTCAGCACGGCGAAAGAGTCTCTTTCGGTCCGTGATTCTGTAGAATTGGTCCCGAAGGACTCTGCCATATTCTGTGGCGCGAATAACATTAAATCGATGAAAAGTTACATGTCTGAAGTTATGGTTCTTCAAGTATTCAAGTTGAAAAATTATCATTTCACAGCTGTTACATTATAAAATATTTATTGTATGCAATATATTATATACGTTATGTTTCAACATAATGCTATAAGTATGTATAATGATTATTTCTAAATTAATTGAATCGATTTTGAGAGAGAAAATGTAAAGTTATTTAAATTTATTTTATAATTTAAATTTTGCAAAAAACATTCTTATACATATATTAAGTATATATGTCTTAATTTTATTTTTTTATTAGATATTTTTTAATAATATTAGATATTTTCTTAGAATATTTAGTGAAGTAAAGGATTCCTTTTTTTTATGAAACGGATTTTGGAATATTTTCTAAACTAATCTTACATAGCTCACTTCATCCAAGGAACGTTTTGGGAACATTCTTTGGACGTCGTTAGAACGTCTCTTGGAAATTTTCAATATAGAATTAGCGTCTTTATTATGGAAAATCACCACGATGAGTTATAATGATTCATCGAAAATATTCATTAAAATGACATTGATATCATAAAATTAAACACGTTTTAGTATTTAAAATTATCATTTATGATAATATATTTATTTATTTGAACCACGCAGTAAAATTATACATTTAAATATATGAAGAAAAATATTCTTTGATTAGATTAGCGTTTCATTTCTCCTTGCAACGTTTTTTTTTTTCTATTTAGAGTTCCGTCGTCATCGCGAGAAGATTAAATTTAAACCGTAATACGTCTTGAAAGAACCGGATCGATGTATGCTTTTCTCTATTTGAACGCATATACGAGACATCGTCGTATGATTTCTTGTTGCAGAATATGGGTATAAAAGATGAATTCCATCAGAGGAACATTTTGGTGTGCATCGAGGAACTCTGCAAAACGTTACCACCGCCTCCAGTGGCGGTGGAGACGATGGGTTCAGCGCTCAACACGACGACGCCGACGCCCGGCGTCGTCGTCGAATCGGCCTGTTCCCTCGGAGTCAACTATCCGGGCAACAACCTGGCCAATAACGCGCACAACCTCGTGCCACACAGCTTCAGCGTGTTGGAGAAGTGCGGCAAATGCCACAAATACCTCAGGGGCCTCTTACATCAGGGCTTCCTTTGCCAAGGTACGTTTCTGACGTACGTTTATCGACGTCGACCTTTGTTAAATCTTAATCCACTGGGTATCTTTTTGAATAAATTGAACTTTACTGGTGACGTGTGAAAAAGCTCGATTGAATCACCTCGCGCATTTTAATTCTATCGATTTATTCGGTACACTACTACAATAGATATATATATATATATATATATATATATATATTATATTGCTTTATTTCTAATTAATTCTTTAGATTAATGACCGCTCTTAATGAATTGATAACATGTGTATCTTTCAAAAATTATATAGCCTGTAAAGATTTTTATATGAGAGTTGTCAAATTCCATCATCGTTAAGTATTCTAACATTCGTGTTTATTCTTGCATGACAATCGCGCTCTGAATAAAATTCTGAAACCAGTACAAGTGAACTGAAAAAAGGAAACTATGTGCGTTTTTCGCGTTGTTGATCTCGCGAATTTTCTCTGTTGCGCAGATTGCGGGCTGGTCTCTCACAGGACGTGTTCAGCGACGGGTTTACCTTCCAATTGCATATCGGTCGACTCGGACAATCGTATCAGCAGGTTTACTTCAGGTAAGTCACGTCGCTCGGATTGCCGCAGTCGCTGTTGGAAATTTTATAGCGTGGCACCGCCCATTAATCCTTCATCGTGTCTCTAATGTGTAGAACACGGAAAGACGCTGAAAAATTTAGTTGTCTCTTCAAAGGCGGGAGAAACATTGCGTCAGAAACATGATTGCTAGCATCGTAACCAGCTGCGCGTGGCAATCGTATTCGAGTTACGAAGTTGACGGCAAGGACGCCCGTCCTGGCGCCTGGTCACTCGCACCTCGTTATGATAACCTGGATCATTTCACGGAGGCTTGCACCTCATGGCTGACGGCTTTCTTCCATTGAAATCCCTCCGCGTCGCGGTCGCGTAGGAGTCGCCTCACTTGCTGGCATTTAATGATCCTTAACTGAGAATACGAGTTTCAACATGGGTTTTGCTGTTCCCACTTTGCAATGCGTTCTCCACTTCGCAAAAACTAATATCCACGGTGTGACGTTGCAAGAAAACAGCAGTCTGCAGCGTTTTAGCGGATTGAATTTATTCCGATTCGATCTTTGCGATTGTACTTCCGCAATTCTTGTCAATATTCGCATTTCCGTGAATGAAACAGTAAAGTTTCGTCCCAAGTAACGAAACAGTCTTCAAGGGAGATTCGATGTTAAGAGAGATTTTATCTTTTGTAATATTTTATACTATATATTATTTTTAAAAAGTATAAAACATACATATATCGCTTAGTAGAAAAATAACACCTCTCAAAATTAGCAATTTTTCTTTGCATTTTTAAAAATTCTGGATTAAAACGTTTAAAAATGGTATAACTTTACATGCGACATTTTTCAATAACAATGTTAACACCGATAATATTCTTTCTAAAAACTGAATAAAATATATATTCTGTAAGCAATCATTACGAACTTAAACAGAAGATGCTTTTGTTTTTTAGGAATAAATTTTAGGATGAAAATTATAAATGTACCGTTTTTCTAACAAAAAATGTATCATTTTCTTAACAAAAAATACGTTTTTACAGTATGTTGATGTATCTTATCTACTATTTAAAAAATGCTACGTTTTCAGTTGGGTTATTTTTTCATTAAACAAAAGTGATTATATATTATTTCATAGAACATTTATATACAAAGTATATTTTTGGGGAAAAAACTGAAATTTTTAGGGAAAGAATGTTATCTCTTTAAATATTTTACACTTATGAATGACATTTTATAAGTTATAGCTGTCAAGACGCCTTCTCTTATCTACCGAGTAGTTTTTTTTACCAACTATTATTATTAGTTATTCTTCATACTTGTACCGATAAACCGAGCTCTTCGAACACCGGAAATTTTCTTAAGTTACGCCGGTCGCCAGTTGGAGGTGCGTTGTGTGCCTTTGACGGCAAGATGGTTAAACGGCGCGAATACCCCCAGACGACGATAATCAGTAAAGACAACGCAGGCAAGGCTCAACGCTCGTGCCGTCAACGTGCGCCGCCAGCGATGCATTTAATTAACGCTGCACACGCCGCGGCGCGAATGACGGAATCGAATATTTGTGCATAGCAAAACCGCGAGTGCGGCGCCAGCCTTCAGGGCCATGTCACCACGTCGCTCCGCGCTGTCCCCCCGCGCGATCCCTCATTCATTTATTCTAACCGTTCCCCCGTCGCCAATTGCGTTTGTACACACTGCGCGACGGTGCATCGATCGCTCGGAATTATCGTCTCGCTGATAACGTCGTTTGTCCGCGACGCCAATTCGTGGCTGCGACGAATAACGATAAGAGAATTGATATAATTTGATGATATTAATGGACTGGGTGCATTTCCGCGACAATGGACAACTATTGGAAAGAGAATGAGAGAGTTTCGGAAGCGCTCCCCGAGTATGCAGGACGTTAATTGCGCTTTGATTTCGTTATTCACTTTACCCGGAATCTGTTGTGAGAGGAGGTCGAATCTAATAAATTCTCGTTTTAATGACTTCGGAAACCATGGCTCCTGTATAGAGAGTTGTCATATCTGAATCACAAGAAAAGGATACTTTTAAAATAAAGACGTGGTCCAGGAACGAAAAGAGGGGATATATGATTTTTCGTGCATTAAATGTAGGTATTTAATAAAATGAAACTTGAAAAACATAATTTTTATTGATAGTTATTAATATAATTTTATAAATATAAAATTTTAATTGACGATTAAAAGATTTTACGATCTTAAAAACGGTATATATGTATTCTTTAAAAGTGTAATCCTACTCTGAGGAATCACGAGAAATCTAATCCCATGCTGAGGAAAAAAACCGCTCGCAACGCGCCGCACGGTTTTCGCGCGCGCGCGCACGATTGTCGCGTCGGCTCCGGTTGATTTGTAGTAATTGGTAGCGTTTAATCGCTTATACACGCGCGGGCGAGTCGTCAGCACGACCCGGTCGAGCCACGCGCGCGTGGAGGTGCAACGATGGACAATTACGCTCCTCTGCCAAACAAAAATTCGAGTCACGTGCGGAGGCCGCGCGCGCCCGCGGTTGCGACTTCGACATTGACGATCCCGCACAAATTGCACCTGCCTCCGCGTCTGGAAAGTTGATTGAAAATGACGCGGCGATCGGCTTGAGTCTAATTGCATACACTCGATATCTCTCGCTGAGAGAAATATTTTTGGTACTTGTGACTGTAATTGCATGGTAAGATACAATATTTACGGTTAGCAGCTCTATTTTTATAGTTATCACTGTTATAACGCTAGTAATAATAATTATACAGTTCTTGTATTGAACTGGGTAATATTTATAAAAATTATAGTTATTTCGAGGACAACCTTTTATTCTGTTTGATATTGTACATTAAACGATAAAACTATGAATATACTTATTATTATTATATAACATTATAGAGTAATAACTATAAAAATGAAACTGAAAATAGTAATAATTACTATTTTACTATGCAGTTAATGTATAATCCCGAGTACTAAAAGCATTTTTTCTCAGGGCTTCAGTTGTTTTCGTAGATTCTGATTACGTTATACCGTCTTGCATTAATTTTACACTGCGGATGAATCATAACGCGTAATTTTTATAATCTTCTGGGTTTTCCTGATTCGTCAACTTGTCAAAATCCTAAATTGCTCAAATGTAGGCGAATGAAAATTCAAGCGCGAAAATCGACACCTTGTTAGCCTCACATGTTTTTTTGTTTTAACGCAATTTACTCGCATAGGATGTTTCAGATACTTCAATATTATATTTCAGTTTTCATTATTATTTTCTGTGCCAATTTACAATTCAATAAAATTTGATAACATTTCTATAAATTGTTTAGATAAAAAAATAAATGTAAATAAATCCTTTTCAATTTGTGTGAAACAATTTGCACAAATATACTCTCTAAAGCTTTTGGACTGAATTGTCGCTCTAAAGAATGAAATCTCATTCTTAAAAATCGAAAATTGAGCTACTCTTTTTCAAGACTTGATCAATTTTCACGCTTCAAAATGAGATTTTACTCCAAAAATCTTAGAGAATATAATGTATATAAATAGCACTTGTACATTTAGCGAATTTGTAAGACCATCCTGAACACCCGATGCGAGCAATGAAGGATTAATAAAACCCTGTCTCGGAAGCTGTGCAAATCGCGTCCAAAATCCGAGAGCTTCTCGTATCTCACGTATTTACCCGTACCGTTGATTTATCCGAGTACAACGGCACGATTCAGCGAGATTTCTCGTTGTTACACGCGTCAACGAGCAACATTCGAAATTCGTGACGAATGTCGAATAGCCCGGCTGTAGCCTCCGCCTTACAGCCGCGCATAAAATCCACGTGCGTGCCTACGTTCTTGTATAAATCGTGTTTTAATTCTGACTTTTTGTCCCTCCCTCCCTTCTCTTTCTTCTTCTCGGTCACTCGTCCTCCAAGAGAAGAAGAAGAAGAAGATACGGTCATGAAGAAACAAGACGTCGCCGTCGCGGTCGTAAAAATAAATTTCTTTCCTCCTCCTCCTCCTCTTGCCCCTCCTATACAATGTTCTCTCCGCTCGTTCTCTCTCTTGTCATAATGCACGCGTCTTTGATTGTACAAGTGGCGTGTGTACTCGCGCGGGTATTCGCCGGAGACAGAGAAAGCGAGAGAGAAAACGGGATCGCGTGTCTGAAAATATGATCGCACCGTATATCCTCGCGCGAAAATAAAGTCAAAGGTTCGTCAGCCGTAATAAAACGAAGAGGAGAGGAAAAAAAAAAGAAGAGAGACGGGACGATTGAAGAAAAGGGAGGCGCTAGGCGGCCGTAGGCGATAAAACAACGAGGAGCGGCTTGTCCGCTTGGGCGCGAAAATCTGCGGGAGAACCGTCGCAGGAATTCTTCTGCTTCGAGTATTTCTCGATTGCGACGTTACGCAATTTCGTCGCTTTGTCCTCGCCGAATTTCGCGGCCTCGTGGATATACAGAGAAGCGCTGCACTTGCTTCATCCAGCGATCGATCGCGTCTCGCGCGACGTGCCTCGACTGTAAAACGAGAAAGAGAGAGAGAAGATGAAGAATAAATTAAATACGATTGTACGAAGGAATGTGCCTTTGGCCGTAATTGATCACAATGTTGCATTAGAGAGACGAAGGTTTTAGCTTTTATAAATTCTCGTTTGAAAAAAGAGAGTATACCTCTCTCTCAGGCATGGCGCAGCAGAGAATTTTGAAACGCGAGACGTACCTCAGGCGCAGCGCAGCATGCCTAAGGTACCGTCTCGCGTTTCAAAATTCTCTCCACCGTAGTCGTGCCGGACGCGTGCAAAGAATTCACGGAATCGCCACGAATGTTTGTCGCATTTTGCAGTGTTCGGCCTCGCGCTGTGCTCGCAATTCGACACCGGCAGCCGTGCGGCGCCGATTCTGGTGGAGCGATGTACCCGCGCCCTCGAGGAGCAGGCGTTCGCCGACACGACGTTGGACCTCTACAAAGTTTACCACAGCAGCCCGCCTAATGAGCAGACCCTCGAGCTGCGACAGAAGCTGAACGAAGGTAAGACGGGTGCGCCATGGCCGGCCAGCAGGTCGGATCGCGCGATCACGCGTGCTATAAATAGCCGGCAGTCGTGCCACAATGTTCGGCTCGCGGGTTGCAAAAATGTCGAGGCACGCCACCAGATGCACGCTGCATTGTGGAGGAGGACTCTCCCTCCCCGTTCTGGGGAAGGGCGCCAGAAAAGCACGCTTATATTTTGCGCGACAAATCGAGATTTCAGGGGACAATGAATAAGCGAGCGGAATTTGCGAGCTCCTTTCGGACTTTAAAAGACAAAGAACCGGCTGCATTTAGCGATAAGCCCTAACATTTATACGTATATATCCTCGAAACTTCTTTTCAAGTTTCACGCAACTTTACACGGTGTATGAATCAGTTATTTTTAGAGAATGATGTTAAGAAAACTTATATATTTCCTGAGAAAGACAGAGATCGCTGTTGTCTGCATTATATCGTGCATTATACCGTGCAGATTTAACCGCTGCAACGTGTCAATTGTCTGTTTAACATCACGAAACTGCGTTCAACGAACTAACAGTTTATCGATTACTTGATATTTATTTGATTATGATTATCATTTTAATGGTTTTAAATAAATTTCTTTCGCAATTTTTTAAAAAAGATCAAACTATAAAACTTAATATAGAAGAAAAAATTGGAATGCATAATTAGATAGGAATTTTAATTGATTGCAGATAAGACTTGAAATGAGCGAAGCTTTTATTGTACAATTAGAGATGTTCTTTTCAAAATTTTTCGCGCACGGAAATTAATGATTAATATACCACTCCATTAGCTTAAAAATGACACAACTACTCTAAAAATTGAATTTTCCAAAATAGAAAAAATCTATTTTTCAACTTAACAGAAAATTTTTGACTAATCGCAAGTATAGTATTGTTAACAAGAATATATACTTATAGCGTTTTCTCTTGGCTGCACCAGTGTAGGGTGATTGCACCAGTTCATCTTTTTTCCTTTTCCCTTCTCCTGGAGAAAAAAGGAAGAAAGATGAACTAGTGCAAAAGTTCAGCTGAGTGTTGCACTGGTGCAGCCAAGAGAAAACGCTATTAGAGTATTGATCAGACTTCATTTTTTTGATATTTTCGTTTCACAATTCTTAAAAAAAAAAAACACTTTTTGATTGTGACGATTTTATTGATGTTTTTAGTTACAATGGTTTGACAATTTGTTATGAAATTAAATTAATTTACGTTTGGTAATTAATAGAGTAATGTTTACTTAACTCATTGATGGTAATAATTAAAAAATTAAATTTTTTTAATTGTATTAGTTGAAATAAAGGCGATATAATAATCCTATAATTAATTGTATTGATATGATTATTATGTCTTTTGAGTAGTTATTAATATGATTAGTATTTATTTTTTGCAATGATCTGAACACAGCAACATAATGTAATCTTTTCAGACGTCTGCAACGCGGATTTAAATCCATACACTCCCCAATGTATCGCCAGTGTATTGAAAAAGTTTCTACGTGAATTGCCAGACCCAGTGATCCCGGTGCAATGGTACGACAGGTTTCTGGATGCGTCGAGTAAGTATATATTTCCCAATTAAGTACTTTTTTTAAACCGGCTGTCACATTTTTCTTCAATTATTATATAATCCGTCGTTCGATTGCAAGTCGTACGAATCTGTTTTTGTTCCTTAGGCATGAGAAGCGATGAGCAGTGCGCGACGCGTCTCAATCAATTAGTATCGGAGCTACCGGAGCATCATCGTAGCACATTGTGCCATTTAATGGCGCATTTCTGTCGTATCTGTCAGTTGCAGCACGGAAGGGGTTACACGGAACCACCGACCATCCTCGTACAAGTGCTCTGCCATATATTTCTCAGGCCGCCCTGGGAGCGAATCATGTGAGTGCCACGTGGATCCTTTTAGTCACAAGGAAAGAATTGAGAGTAGAGCGTGGTTCACACGATCCCTTTTTTTTACTGGCGACATACTAGGGCACTACTGGCTGTAAAAAAACATTGGTATTTTCGAAGACGCTAGTAATAGATTATTTTCCATCTCGAGAATAGATTGACTACTAATTAAAAGAATGTGACTTTCTAGTTTGCTAGCATTGGGTTATTTAATTTTCTCTCGCAAAAAATACCTTGTAGATTTCAGGATATAATATCATTACATAACGATATAATACTGTCATATTTGCGATAAAAAAATTAACTGGTTTTACGACTATATTACTACTAATAGATAAGATTACTTGCCCGATAGAACACTCGTAATACTCTTTGATTACGAAGAATTTAGCACTTTGCACTGCGCAATTTTACAGCCAAGTTGTTCACAACACGGAGGCACACATACGCATAATGGAATTGCTACTATTACACGGCGATTGGAGCGAGAGGCTACCGGAGTTTGCCAGTGCCCCACAATTGCCGCCACGTAAAGTTTCGAGACCACAGTTTCCGATTTTGGATCCATTCCCGGTTCTTGAAGACGAAGCTGTAGACAGAACGGCACCTGGTGCAGATACTGGCAAGGACCAACAGTCGCATAGGTGATCTTCAAATTCGATTTTGGTCTCAATCCAAATCTTAATCTAAGTTAGAAGTTTCTAGTTCTAATTCTATCTTACACACACACACACACACACACACACACACACACACACACACACACACACACACACACACACACACACACACACACACACACTTTACACCGAAAAAATTGTATTCTTAAAAGATTAGTATATTCTTAAAATGAGAATACAGGGTGTCCCATTTTAAACGATAACCTCAAATATCTCCTGAACGATACAAACACGTGCCTACGTGAAAATTTCGTCCGCGTGGACGCCACCGTGAATATCCAGACTGAGCGTGAAAACAAATGTATGTGAGCATCATGGAAAACCGCGTGAAACGCGCGTGATAGCAACGATCCCATTCGCAAATCAAAAATATATTCTTAATTTAAGAGGAAATATTCTTATATCTGTTAAGAGGAAATATTAAGTACATCTTTCAAGAATACAATTTTTTCGGTGTAACTTTAATCTTTCTCTCTCTCTATCAGTTTAACTTTAATATTATATTTAATTCTATTTGTATCATGTATAATTAATTTTTATGATTTATAATAATTATTTATAAGATAATTCTATGGTACAAATGATTAATTGTAAATATTGCCGAAAAACTTTCAGGCCGCGCACGCTACAGGAAGCTGAATGGTATTGGGGTGAAATCACGAGGGACGATGTAAACGAGATGATGATAGACTCGCCGGATGGCACCTTCCTGGTACGCAATGCGTCTTCCAAAGGTGGCGAGTACACTCTAACGCTACGTAAAGGCGGGACCAATAAACTCATCAAAATCAGTCACCGAAACGGAAAATATGGATTTTCGGATCCTTATAACTTCCACTCGGTCATCGAGCTGGTCGACTACTATAGGAACTGTTCGCTCGCACAGTATAATTCGGTGCTGGATATTAAGTTGCTTTATCCGGTGTCACGATTTCAACAGGTATCTTCGTAGAACTTTTTACGAAATAATTGCATTATATTCATCTTTGAACTTTCTATTTTGTGTTTATCTGAAAAACAGGATGACGAGATCGCAAATACGACCGATATGACAAAAGTCGTGCAGAAATTTGTCGAGTTGGAAAAAGATATAAATGATACAATCCGGCAATATCAAAACTGTTCGGATTTGTACAGTAAAACGGCCTACGAAGTTCAGTTGAAGCGTAATGCATTGGAAGCTTTCACAGAGGCCATCAAGATGTTCGAGGAACAAATAAAGTTGCAAGAAAGATGCAAGATAGAAGCCCAACCACATGAGATTTCTACGTGAGTACTCTGTTGTTAGTGCTCTCTAAAAATACTTATATTTATAAAAAAAATAAACTTGACATTTTTTGCCTCACTGTATTGTTCCATTATGATTATATTGATGATAATTTCCGAGATCTCGTATAGCAAATAATATGAAGTAGGGAGTATTTATTATAATTAATAAGTAAAAAAATGTTACTATTTTTTTTCATAATAGTTTGACAGACAATTCGGAACTGTTGAAACGAAGACTGAAGGCCTTAGAAGATAGCAAAGAACAACTGGATGAGAGTCTGAAACAACAGATCGCCTACTATAGGACTCTTGAGAGAGAAATGTACAAGCTGAAGTCGGACATCGGATTACTTGTGCGACAAAAGGATCGCCATTCTCAGTATGTATTCTTTTATTTGACCTGTGCTGGACAAAAAAATTTTTTTTATCTTTACATCGAAAAACTGATCTAATTTATTCGAACATTGCAGATGGTTAAAGAAGAATGGGATGAAGCAAAACAAAGAGGAAGTGGACTTTGCAGTTCATTCCGATGAGAAAACGTGGCTGTATTTGCAGGGTTCTCGTCCTGATGCTGATCATATTCTAAAGGGTCGACCCGATGGTACCTTCCTTGTTCGTCGATCGAGAACGGGCCAGTACGCACTTTCTATAGTGTAAGTATCTTCTATATCTTTATACAAGTACAATTTAATTACAAATAACGCGTGAGATTATAATATAGCTAATAGCAGGAGAAACACATGAATCATTTAAAACGAAAGTTAATCCTCTTCTCAAGGTTTCCCTCGAGAATTTGAATAATCCAATTTTAAAGATCGTATTTCATTAACCGGGATGGTTTTGCGGTTTGTGCCATGTGTTATTCGAGAATCATGATGTTACAGGTGCAACGGTACAGTACAGCATTGCATAATATACGCCACTGAGCGCGGTTACGGCTTCGCCGAGCCATACAACATTCACGAGACCCTGAAACACCTAGTGCTGCACTATGCTCAGAACTCTTTGGAGGAACATAACGAGTGCCTGACTACCACTCTGGCCTATCCCGCGTTTGCGCCGCCCGCGGCGCTAGCGCAACTACAGGCCCAGCAGAAACAGCTGCAGATTCATATTCAGAATCAATTGCCGTTCGCGCGACCGCCCCATGAGAATCAGCTCGTCATGCCGCATACATAATATTGGCCTGTCGAGCGTCGCGATCAGGATCCGCTCGAGTCCGAGTACGTTTACGCACGCGCGCACACCCACACGTGAGTTCTGCTGCTACAAGCATCATTCGCCGACGCGATCGACTGTATCACGTGAGCCTTCCTTGACGAGTACGAACATGTTCCGTTGCAAGACAAAACGCTCCTTCGTTCGGAACGTTTCCTAAAATCGCGTACAATAATTATGCGTATGTTTCCCAGTGAGAGAAAATAATCTCACGCGAAATATCGTGAAAGCACGCAATGTAATATTGGTTGCTTAATCATCATCGAATGATAGGTAGGTCGTAAAATCTCCAAAAACATGGAGCATTTTGACGAAATGTATAATAGCCGTAACGATAGTAATCGTAAGAGATACTAGCGATAGAATTAGACATTATATATGCATTATCGTGATACGATAATGATCGTTTCGAAGCAGAAGTTCCCAAACGTCGCGTTGCGACATCCTGATGGAATGCAATTTATATCTAAAAAAAAATGAGAAGCAAGGAACAGATGAAATAAAATCTTGAAAGATAATTTTAGAAAAATTAAACTACTTTTTTATATTTTATCGTTGTAATAAATATTAAAATAAATATTCAATTATTGTTTGGTATGTAAAGATGATAATGTTTTGAAAATGTAAAGTTCTTAAATTTTCTTCTAAATTATCTGCATCTTTATGTTTCGTAAATGTAACAAGGGATGAGTAAACGTGGAAAAATTTGAAAGTTGACTTATATTTTCTACATGTGTGATTAATAATGATTGGACATTTCATATCCACACTTTCAACATTATTACAAGGATAAAATAAAGAGAAAATATTCAAAGAATGTTAGATTCAGAATGTTTGGGAACCTCTCGACCAACAGGACCAACAATACCAACGACGGATGTCATCTGCTCTCCTTCAGGGTTTACACGACGCGGAGAGTCAAAGATCTGCGTCGACATTACGGCAGGATGGTGACGGTACGTTTCCGTCACCATCGAAATTTTGTTCTTCGAAACAGAAAGCGTTTTTTTTTTTATCTTGACACTTGTAATTGCGCAGAATTCATCCGCTCGGAAACATCGGCATTATAAAGACATGATATCGGATCAACGACCGGGATAGCGAGGTTTGCTTCGTTCACATAGATTCCATTGTTCAGGTAATCAGGGTAGTCTCTTATAATCGTCTAACGTCTAACCCTTAATAGTCTGAATCCCCGGATTCTGATTAGCTCGTATCGAGCGGTCATTTAGTTTTAAACTTTGAGTTAGTATTTCGTTATCATTTAGCTATGTAGGATGTACCTATGTAGTTTAAATCGTACTATTTTTAGACAAGACAATTAAAGTACTACAAAAATAATTTATGAAAATGATATCTTTTTGAATTGCTATAATTATAACTGAGGAAGTCATTGATCGAATATTTATGCTACTACAAGCAGAATTTATTATGTTAATATATTTCACGAAGTGTCCACAAATGACATTTGACATAATTTTTCATATAATAAGTTAATCTAGATCACGTGCTGTTACTAATCATTATTTAATGTTTTTTGTAATGTAACGCATTTCGTTTTTTGCTATAAGGCTTGCATTTAAGTTTACAAGCTAAATTAATATCAATTATATGAATCAAGGTTTGCATAATTTTTATCGCAATCATATTGTATCTAATATGATCACTTTAGGCTTTTAAGGGTTAAACGTAGTCGTTCAGAAATCGAAAAGTGATCGCTTCCTCGTTGCTCGAAATTTCTGATCGCTTGTAAACGCCGTTCGCGATTCCAAGGACGCGGACAGCGATTCGCAAAATAAAGCGTCTTCATTTTTTTTTGCGAATTGCTGAATTATGATAGTGATATTAGAATGTAGTCGAGCAAAATTCATGTAAAATCACAAGGCGTCTTTATACCGTTTTATAGTAATCGAAAAACTGGCCGCGAAAATCCTGTGAATCCACTTTTTTTAATGAGAAGTTTAAACTGTTCCTTGGAACATTATCAAATATCATATTAACTTGTAATGTGTCTGACTGTATTTCAAGTTTTCCTCGAGTCTTAAACAGTGGACTCACTTGCTTCTCGTGGCTAAATCTTCGGGTTTGATCGTGAAGATGGACCGGATATCTCCGTCGTCCTTCCTCGATCGCGTTCCACAATGGATCGCGATGAAATTTCCTCGGTGAGAGAGAGAGAGAGAGAGCTTTTTTTATATATTAGATTTCAGACGTTATGCCAAGCAGATTTGTGAGAAAAAAGATACATATATACACACACACACACACACACACACACACACACATATACATATATGTATTATATCTATATATTATCTGTGATTTTTTTTGGATTGTCTGTAAGCAAAAGGAGAAAAGTTATCGCGTTTGTCATCTGATCGCTTTTATCCCTAATTTCTTATCTTTGTCTTTCGTTTCTTCTCTTTCTATACTCCTTCCATGAACTTTCTTTTCTGCCAAAACTTCAATGATCAATGCGTCGAGTCGATCTTTCTCGATGTCGAAACCTGTCTTGGTTCTGAACAGTCTTACAGATAGCAGCGTGAGAGAAAAGATCAGGATACAAGAATTGAAAATGTTGAATAAAGTAAAATTGCTAGCAATTTAAAAAAAAACAAGTACAAAAGAAAAACCAGTTAATAATAAATCATAACCGAACGCTAGTCTTTAATCTGAAACAATGTTTTTGTAATAATAATTAGTCTATTTATATTCTTTGTTTTTATATCAATAGAATATTAGGAGACGCGATAGTGTCTCCGGCCATGTTCAAAAAACTACTAGTTTATAATTTATCGAATATTTATTGTTATTCTATTATATTTTCTTCTTTATTATAATCGTTTCTTTGTTGCATCCTGATCTGAACTACTGAAACGAAATTAGAAGACGCATGGAGGCGTGCCTGAGAAATCTCACATTTACAGAGCGGTCGGTAAATGGCGAGAGTGTATCGGGAACGCTTCACGTTCAATGAGACTAGTAGTTCCTCAAGTTTCTCTCACGCCATAGTAAATGGAAGGCTGAGAAATGCAAATCGATCTGAACAGGTTAATCGGAAAAGTATTGACATCAGTGAGAATTAAGCTAACATGATTCATCTTTCAATCTATCCACTATATTCATAAGTAGGAATCGTTTAGATTAAAAGCGGCGTAATCAGGTTTGGAAAAATCTTGTCAAAATATTTTATTGAACATGTACGAATAAGAGATCAATTTTTTTATCATGCATCTAGTACTAAACGCGGTCGTTTGATTATTCATTATTCACGTCGAAAATTGGATAAACCATCTTTGGCACTGGATGCATTGTTAAAGAATACGGATGCAAAACATTTTGCGTCGAAATGCAATTTGCACCAATGTTAGATTGTGTAAGGTGTATGTGTAAGAATATGTAAACGTGATGTTTCTCTACGCGTTTATTTCTTCCGCAACTATGTATCTCCTATCGCGCGATAGGCGAACGAGCGAGGAAGATCGGCGAGATCGTCTCCCTTTTCTGAAGAAAAATGTAGAGCGGCGAGAGAAAAATGTCGCGCGGGAGAGAAACGTAGTCGGTGAACAAAAGGCTCTCCTTTGCTCATTTCGAATGTTTCGGATTACGTAGGTTTAGGTAGTTTAAGATTTTTTATACAGACGAAAGAAGGGGTGGTGGAAAGGAGCGGGAGAGGCATGTGGCCTGGCTCGCTATCTCGTGATTGTCCAATTTGTCGTCCGTCGTTATTTGTTTCATTCTCCTCTAGTATCTGGATGTCCTCGCGTTTCTTGTCGTGTCATTCTCCTTTTCGAGGCCTTGTTCGCTTTTTATTATTTTATACCGTTTCGTATTTTAAGCTCTTCGAAGAGCAGGATGACGACGACGTCGATCTGGTGTATTTTGGGGAACGAATTCGCGATCGTGTTCAATTTTTTGGGATTTGAATGCTCGTGATCGTCGACCATTAATTTTTGCTGTGAGGCAAATGCCATGCGTCACTGATTGAGCCTTTCGCATGATAGACAACAGTGAAACAGTAGTACCTATCGGACCGAGTTGAGGCAATTCTTCGTGATTTTTCTCGTGGGAATTAATCTTCCGGCGTAAGAGAAAGTACGGGGAAAATGAATCGATGACGTCGGACGACTCTTTTATAGTGTTAAAGACAGTTATAAAAATATTAGGACCGATGAGTATGACTCGCGATAGAATCTCTCGGTGAGACAATTAATATTACACTTATTATATTAGATTAATAATAAATAATTATAATTAACAATATTACCATTATTAAATCATAACAAGATTATAATATATTGTGTATATTATATCTGTATATAATTTTACAACATTTTTAATGAAAAATGAGTTTAAAAACAAAAATTCTTCGATTTTCTAAATTTTACGCAGGCAAAAACTATGTAAAGTTTGGTATTTTATATTTTTACGGGAATGTACTCAATGCAATATCTTTACGGAAATAAGTATTTTACAAATCAGAAACTCTTATATATAACTATCAAATATAATTAGAATTAGAATTAGAATTATATGAAGAATTTTCATTAAAATAGTAAGATAATTTTTTATCTTTTTGTTGCTTCTCTCAAAAGCTTTAATTTGAACTAAAATATTTCTTTTTAGTGTCTTGTTACTCTCTTGCCTTAATTTATAATATTTTGCAAATTCCGCTATAGGGAAAGCAAAATGATTAAAAAAGAAAATGTATTATTCAACAATGTATTGTCTCGAAATCTATCACGAGTCGCACTCGTTGCTTTCCCAGTGGGAAAGAATTATATTTATACAGGTGCGCGCGCGCACATGCATACATACATATATACATACATACACGAATTTACACATACACGACACATTCACGAAATAGATTCATATGCGAAATAAACGAATGCTACATAAATATATATATATATATATAAATATTATATAGATGCGATACGTTGTGCGTCGAGAAATATATATGGTGCAGATATGAGAGAAGAGAGAAAAGAGAGGAAAACGAAAAAAATATATATATTCGA